AAACCCCTAGTAACTGTGGGAGGAGCAAAACAAGTAGAGAAACCAGAGGCACAGTCTGGGCAAGGACTGCTGTCAATATTCCAGCTTTGCTAAAATGGATGATGAGAGTAACTGGATGATGAGAGTGTACAAATGGGGTTGTTCCTGCGGAATTATACTAATGGATGATGAGGTAAATGGATGATGGATTAACTAATGGATGATAGAGTAAAATGGATGATGAGAGTAACTAATGGATGATGGAGTAATGATGAGAGTAACTAACTGGGAGCAGGGCTTTTGGTTTCCTTTTCTTTCTTTTGTGCTGTTTTGTTTTGTAGTTTTATTTTGAGCGGTAGTGTCACTCTGTCGCCCAGGCTGGAGTGTAATGGCAATCTACTCGTCTCTGCAACCTCCACCTCCCAGTTCAAGCAATTCTCCTGCCTCAGCTCAAGTAACTAGGACTATTTGGGCACTAACACCACACCCGGCTAATTTTTGCTCTTTTTAGTAGGAGATGGGTTTCTTGTGTTGTGACCAGACTGGTCTCAGGCTCCTGGCCTCCGGGTGATCCACCACATCAGCCTCTCCGATGGGATTGCAGGTTGAGCCACTGGCCTGGCCTTTTTTTTTTTTTTTCTTTTGGAGCTGAGTCTTGCTCCTGCCTCAGCCAGGCTGTAGTCTGCATGTACAATCATCACTGCAGCCTCTGCCCTCTGGGTTCAAGCGAACTCTCCTGCCTCAGCCTCCCAAGCAATGGGGATTACAAGCGCCCCACCACCCGACCAGCTAATTCTTTGTATTTTTAGTAGAGACAGTTTTGTCACATTAACAGGCCTCTTTAAAATTTTTGTAAGTAACTTCAAATTTCCTGATCCTCTGAATTTTCACGTGCCAAACTCATTTAGGAAACTCTTGCTGCATGAAAGCTCAAAATGTCTACAAATGGAATCATTTATCATAACCTATGTGATTAATATGGAAATTATCCTTAAGCTTCCTTCTGAGTCCACAGTGCCTAAGGAAAATACGCATGGTACACTCAGTCCTCTCATGAGGAGTGCCCCACCCTGCACTCTTCTGTAGTGTTCTACTTCACTCTAATAAAACTTCCCTTTTCACAGGCACACAGTGGCTCACTTATATTCCCCAACACTTTGGGAGGCTGAGGTGGGTGGATCACTTGAGGTCAGGTGTTTGAGACCAGCCTGGCCAACACGGTGAAACCCCGTCTCTATTAAGTACAAAAATTGGCAGGCGTGTGGTTGTGGGTGCCAGAGATCCCAGCTGCTCAGGAGGCTGAGGCAGGAGAATTGCTTGAACCCGGGAGGCGGAGGTTGCAGTGAGCCGAGATTGTGCCACTGCACTCAACCTGGGTGGTGGGACTGAAACTCTATCTCAAAGAAAGAAAAAAACAAAAAAACAGAACTTCCGTTTTCCGACCTATATACTGTCTTCAGTAAGTTCTTACCAACCCCCAAGTTGGCCACTTTCCCATGCTGGGACTCTGGCACCTAGCTCAGCAGAACTGTTTGGTGTAACTTATATAACAGATATTGTAAACCAAAGCATCCTTGGGTCTCAATCAACTTGGGGATTAATTTTGCAGGTTTTAGGACCATGGCTCACCAACAGCCCTCAGAGTCCTGAGAACATGTGCCCAAGAGTGATTAGGCTACAGCTTGATTTTATATCTACATTTGAAAGACAGAAGTTACAGGCAAAGACACCAAATCATGCCAGGTGGCATCTACATTGGTTATAAGCCTGGAAAGACAGAACATCTCAAGTGGGAGTTTCAGTGCAGGTGGATTCAAAGATTTCTGATTGTGATTGATTGAAAATTAAAGACTTTTTGCCTGGAAGAGGTAAGTCAAGTGTAAAGAAATGCTTGAGTTAGATGAGCCTGTAGAAGCAGAGGTTCTTTCAGTGTAGATGAAGTCTCAAGTAGAAGGCTTCAGGAGAATAGATAGTAAACATGTCTTATTCCACCTTAAAAGGGTGTCATATTCTCAGTTAAATCTCTGGATCAGGAAAGATCTGGAAAGGGAAGATGATTCTCTTTTTTTTTTTTTTTTTTTTGAGTTGAATCTCCTCACTCTATTAGGCTGGAGTGCAGGCGTGATCTCAGCTCACTGCAACTCCCAGGTTCAAGTGATTCTTCTGTAAGCCTCCCAAGTAGCTGGGACTACAGACACACACATCACCACTCCCAGCTAATTTTTTTTGTTCTGGTATTTTTAGTAGAGATGGGGTTTCACCACTTGTGTGAGGCTGGTCTCAAACTCCTGACCTTGTGATCCACCTGCCTTGGCCTCCCAAAGTGCTGGCATTACAGGCATGAGCCACTGCGCCCAGGCTAAGAAGAGGATGTCTATAGATTTCCCAGAGATGACCTTGCAGGGCTCAAAATAGCATGTCAAAAATACATCTGGGATAAAATACTTTGATTTCCCATACAGCATATTATCTATTATGTGATGCCATACAGAGTCGGGTTGGAGTCGATTTATCTTACATTCTTTACAAAGTCTGTTCTGTCAGTCTTGGATCTATAATATTCTTATCTCTTGAGACATAGTCTCATCTGTCACCAGTCTGGAATGCGGTGGTGCAGCTCTGTTCTGAAACCTCTGCCTCTGTGTTCAGGTGATTCTGGAGTACTCAACCTGAGTGGCTGAGTTCCATATGCCCCACGTGCCCAGCTAATTTTTGTATTTTTAGTAGAGGCGGGGTTTTGCCATGTCAGCCTGACTTTAGTCTTGAACTCCTGGCCTCATGTCATCTGCCCTCGGCCTCCCAAAGTGCTGGGATTGCAAATGCTGAACCACTGGCATAACCAGGAGCTCTGTTTTAATATTATTTGATCACTTGTACCTGAACTCCAAAGGAAGAAAATAAGTAAGTGTGTCAGCCCCTCCCTTTCATCACTGACCTGAATTCGTTTTCAGGTTTTGAGAGGATCCCCTTGAGACAAGAGGGCTCTATTCGGTTAGTTGAGGGCTTAAAATTTTACTTTTTGTTTGTGCTTCTCTGAAAGAGTTAGGGAGCTCACAGAATTTCCTTATGACAACTTATGAAACCATCTGGGAAGATACGTGCCTTCTGTCTCACTGGTATTCTGCTTTACCCCAATGATAAAGGCCAATGACACAGGTTGCAATCACAGCTATGTTTGGGGAAAGGAGAAAGCAGTATGGGTGTGATTGTGTTCCCAACCCTTGCCTTAGCCATAGTGAGTTTGAGGCTAAAGTTATTTCTTCATGAAATAGTTTAATTAAATGTACCAAGAAAGCAAACTTAAGGATGAGGGGAATGGGGAAGCTCTGGTTCCTGGGCAGCCACGTGTTACCACATGGCACAGACTGCAGTTACTGAAAGTAAAATTAAGTAGTTACCCATGGCACAGAGCTGCAGTTACTGAAGGTAAAATTTAGAAATGGATCCAAATCTTGGAGGAGTCAGTTTACTGGATGCCTAAGAAAACATAAACAAAATAAGAAAAAAAATGGTAATATTCAATCCCACAGTTATTGTTACCTATCACAGCTAAAGTAAAATTAAAACAGAGTGCTGGCTTCAATCTTGACACTACACTAAGCTTAGATTTCAGTGAATGTAAGTCTCAGCCACTAGCTCACAGCCACCTCCCAAGGATGAAATCATGTAGGGACAATAGAAAGTACTTCTGAGAATTGTGGTTACCAAAAACCTAGTAAATGTGGGGGAGGAGCAAAACAAAGTAGAGAAACCAGAGGGCACAGTCTGAAGGAGACTGCTGTCAGCAGCTTCCGGAGGAGCCTTTACTAAAATGGATGATGAGAGTAACTGGACGATGAGAGTGTACAAATGGGGTGTACACTCCCTGCGAGTGTACTAATGGATGATGAGAGTAATTAATGGATGATGAGAGTAACAATGAGAGTAACTAATGGATGATGAGAGTAACGATGAGAGTAACTAACTGGGGAGCAGGGCTTTTGGTTTCCTTTTCTTTCTTTTTTTTGTTTTTTTTTTGTTGTTGTTGTTGTTTTGAGCAGAAGTGTCACTCTTGTCGCCCAGGCTGGAGTGTAATGGCGTGATCTCGCCTCACTGCAACCTCCACTTCCCGGGTTCAAGCAATTCTCCTGCCTCAGCCTCCCAAGTAGCTGGGACTATGGGAGCACAACACCACGCCCGGCTAATTTTTGTATTTTTAGTATTTTCTGTTGGGGGTCCAGGTTTCTGAAAACAACTCAGAGACATATGTTAAGATGTTATCTTTCTTTAGTTTTCATAGGAAACCAAATACGTTAGGACTCCAATTTCCTTGGCTATTGTTTTTTGTTGGTTTTTTGTTTGTTTGTTTGTTTGTTTGTTTGTTTGTTTTGAGACGGAGTCTCGCTCTGTCGCCCAGGCTGCAGTGCAGTGGCTGGATCTCAGCTCACTGCAAGCTCCGCCTCCCGTGTTTACGCCATTCTCCTGCCTCAGCCTCCCGGGTAGCTGGGACAACAGGCGCCCGCAACCTCGCCTAGCTAGTTTTTTGTATTGTTTTAAGCTACCATTACCTTCTTGTTGATCAAGTTGCTCATATACTTCTCAAGGCTAGCTAGATGCCTGGAATTTCCGTTGAAGAAAAAGTCAAGATTTTCCTTTATCTCCATACTGGCTGATGGGGACCGAGTAAGCCCGTAAGGGGGGTCCCACTCCATCTTAAGGAGCTGCTGGATTCTACAAGTGCCTAATAAGCAGCTCTCGCCTGACGGACAAAGAGCTGCTTGCTTTCTGTATAGCAATTCCAAAGTGAACAGACAATATCCTGTTTGGAAGACTGCCACTCTGTTAGAAGCAGCATCAGGACAACCTTTCTTCTGAGCTATTTATAACTAACAACAATTGACCAAGTATACTTTTGTGAGTGAAACTGACCTTTCTCCCTACAAGAATTCTCCAACATTTGGAAACTATTTGTGAGTATTTTCACTTATGGCAATATGATTATTGGCACAAGCTCAATCAGATTCGGTTTTCTTTCGTAACAGGAACCATTGGAGATGCTCGTTACTCTTTGAAGGCTTACAGCGGAATGAATTCAAATACGACTTATTTGAGGAATTGAAGTTGACTTTATGGAGCTGATAAGAATCTTCTTGGAAAAAAAAAAAGACTGGGTATATTTTCAATACACTTTCCTTTTAAGGTCCCTTACCTGTGGAGAGTAAAGAATGTCACTTTCTGACAGGCCCAGGAACCTCAAGTTATGTGGGGATCTCAGGAAGATGGGGGAATTCACCCAGTTCGTACAGGTGAAATTGTTGTTGCAAAGATTATGAATATGAGAGAAGTCCAGCATGGCTGACTTCATCTCATGTCTGGCCTCAGGCCAGCTGCCCTTGCTCACTCTTGGGCATAGGCCAAGCTAGCCATGGGAGGAATTTAGTTTATAGTTTAACTTTGAAGCAAGGATGATAATACTCTCTCCCTAAAATGAACTTCTTCCTTGCTCAGGGACTGAAACTACCTTTGTAAGACAAATGAAAGCCCACAAGATTAGGATTATGAGAGGGGCCTGAGTTATGCTAAAATGCAGGTGTAGCTGACTGATAACCAGTATTGTCCCACAGCTTGCCTTTCTGTAATCTCTTGCTTCTCAGGAGTCACATGGCCAGAGGTCCTGAGATTTCTGGTCCTGTGACCCCCACCCAGAGACGGACTTGGTGCATGAGGACCATTTTCCACACCCCTGTGATTTCATCCTCAAACAATCAGCAGCACCCATTCCCTAGCCCCCTGCCTGCCAAACTATCCATAAAAATCCTGGCCCCTGAGTTATTAGGGAGATTGATTAATAATCCCAGCCCTGCCCTTGGATTGCTCTGATTTAATTAAACCTCTACTGCAATACCACGGACTCAGTGAATTGGTTTTGTCTGTGCAATGGGCAACAAGAACCCGTTGGGTGGTTATACAGGTACTACAAGCACAGGCTGATGGCAAATTATTGGTTTTGCTTCCTGCCCTTGGTGTTTCTAAACATCTAGTCCAAAATTACTCGTGAAATGTCCAGCAAAGCCAATTTTAAAAGAGGCTATATGGCCAATCACTATTCTTTCTGCACATCATTGCAAATAATCGGGTTACGGCTGGGCACGGTGGCTCACGCCTGCAATCCCAGTACTTTGGGAGGCTGAGGCAGGTGGATCACTTGAGATCAGGAGTTCGAGACCAGCCTGGGCAACATGGTAAAACCTTATCTCTACAAAAAATACAAAATTAACCGGGCATGGTGGCATGCACCTGTAATCCCAGCTACTTGGGAGGCTGAGGGAGGAGAATCACTTGAACCTGGGAGGCGGAGATTGCAGCGAGCTGAGATCACACCACCGCATTCCAGTCTGGGCAGTAGAGTGAGACTCTGTCTCAAACAATAACAATCAAACCAAGTATAATGAGATTAAAATTTATTTTGCAAATAAAATGGTCCTACTATAATTTATCGTTTGTAGAAATGTGGAAACTGAAGATAAAAAATTAGGTTTCAGAAGAAGACTCTAGTACACCTGTTATTAGATTCTAGCCCTAAACATTGTTTTTGAGGTTTTTATTATTTACCTGCAATTTGGACTAAATTATTTCCTGACTACAAGTATCCAAAGAATAAATGGGTTTTCATTTTCTTTATGATAGTTTTAGTTGGCTTCTAATGCAACAACAATTTTTATTGTATCCTGTGTGCATTCTATTCCTACTATTCAAATTATTAATGTTATAGATCTTTCATTGTAGTACTTCTGAATTAACCCAAATCACAGTATTCTGAAGATGATTCTACAAAGCCTGCTGTTTTCCACAAAGCCTGCTGATGATTTCTACAAAGCCTACTGTATTGTTGCTGTGGCCTCTGTTTTAAAAAGTAGAAAACACATCGATGCAACATGTTCTCCCCAACCTCCTCCCTAAAGGCTCAGGGACCATCGCGGAAGAGGAAGGCGCGTGAGATTGTAAGAGCCAAATTAGGGGGATGGTGTGTGGAGGATAAGGACACTTCATCTTGGTTACTTACCTGCCAAATTGACTTCTGATGAAAGCCAGCTCCAGAAATGTGCCTCCAGTTTCTCCTTTCACCTAAACTCTGCCCTTAGTCAAATCCTTCTCTTCTTCTAAGCAATCAACTTCAATTCCTTGTACAACCCACAGTATAAAAGGGCTTTTATACCGTTCTATCCTATTGCATGTAAGCCTTGGGTCTGGGAGGTAACAGTGTGGGATTCCACCATCTCATCTCCCCGCCACCCAAACATGCCTGTTCTTCCTTAAGCAACATTAAATTTTTGTACTTCAGAAATTTGATTTGTCAGCCTCTTTCTTCAGACGCTCAGCTTCTTTGGCCTTTGGGAGTAGTTTTGCATAGGCCTGTTCACAACAGGATGTTCTGGGGGGTTTGGGGGTGTTGTTTTGTTTTGTTTTTTGTTTTGTTTAGAGACAGGGTCTCACTCTGTCACCCAGGTTGGAAGGCAGTGGTGCAATCATGGCACACTGTAGCCTCAAACTCCTAGGCTCAAGCAATCCTCCCACCTTGGCCTCCCAAAGTTCTGGGATTACAAGCATGAGCAACCATGCCCAGCCCTGGTACTTTTCTTTAAAGACATTTACACAGTGTAGGAATTACTGTGGGTGCACTGCTCAGATCCCCTTCCCCAGGATGCTCATTCCTACCTCATAGATGATCTTTCTGCAGAGGTTTGACCTCAGCTGAAGGGGAGTCACCTGGTCCAGGTGGTTGCTGTTCAGCTCCTTCCCGAGAACAGCCAACAGCCAGGGACGTGCTAGCACAGAGATCTAAGGGCGACCAAGGCGAGGCCACTTCTGTGCTGTGGTGCATGCTCCAGAGCCTCCCTGGGATCGGACTTGAGGGTCTCCAGCCAGATCTGGTCTTTGGTGCTTTCCTTGAGCTCCCCAGCACACTCCTGCAATGCACCTCTTTTTTTCTTTTTCTTTTCTTTTCCTTTTTTTTTTTTTTTTTTTTTTAGATGGAGTTTCACTCTTCTTACCCAGGCTGGAATGCAATTATGCAATCTCAGCTCACCGCAACCTCCGCCTCCCGGGTTCAAGTGATTCTCCTGCCTCAGCCTCCCAAGTAGCTGGGATTACAAGCATGCACCACCACGCCAGGCTAATTTTCGTAGTTTTAGTAGAGACGGGGTTTCTCCATGTTGATCAGGCTGGTCTTGAACTCCTGACCTCAGTTGATCCTCCCGCCTTGGCCTCCCACAGTGTTGGGATTACAGGCATGAGCCACTGCGCCTGGCCCAATGTACCTCTTGAATCACCTCCTTACGCTTTGCTTTTAGAGAACATGGTCCCCAACATGCGATGCCAGCAAAGATTCTAGAAAGCCAACTGTGACCATCACTTCTGGGTTTAGATGACTCCCCCAGCCCCCGCCACAAGATGGCAGTGACCACCTCATCACAGAGGTGCTGAGGGTCTGCACTGTGCTGAGGGTCTGCAGGGCATGTGTCTACTGGGAGGTCACTGATATTTCACCTGGAGTAAACTGAGGTGAGCTACAGGAGATGTTCCGCAGGCACATAGTCTCTGTGGTTTTGAACATCGTGGGGGAAATGTAAGTAATAGGAGTGTGGAGTTGAATGGCTACCAACAAGTGCCGCTGATGCGTGGAAGAGAGAAAAGGACAGGCTTAGACCTATAGCTCAGCAATTTAAAGTACATATGAGAGCCGCAAGGGATGTTCATCTCCTGAAGCCAAAGGACAGGTAGAGCTCACGGCCAGGAACAAGACTTCATCACAAAAAGGCAAAACTTCAAAAAAGGCGGGGAAGGGCTGCACCTCACCCCACCATGGGTAGACAATAAAAGTTGCATATTTAGGACCCTTTCTGACCCAGTCCTATGCATGTCTTTCTCTCTTTCTTCTCTTTCCCTTCTTTCTTTCTTTCCTTCCTTCCTTTCTCTCTTTCTCTCTTTTTTTCTTTCTTTCGAGTTTCACTCTTGTTGCCCAGGCTGGAGTGCAATGGCATGATCTTGGCTTACCACAACCTCCACTTCCCGGTTCAAGCGATTCTCCTACCTCAGCCTCCCAAGTAGCTGGGATTACAGGCATGCGCCACCACGCCTGGATAATTTGTATTTTTAGTAGAGATGGCGTTTATCCATGTTGGTCAGGCTGGTCTCGAACTCCTGACCTCAGGTGATCCGCCCGCCTCAGCCTCCCAAAGTTCTGGGATTACAGGTGTAAGCCACCGCGCCCGGCCTCCTATGCATCCCTTTCTATTGCTCATTCTGATTTGCATCCTTTTGCTCTAATAAAACTTTAAAAAATAAGTATAGTACTATCCTGAGCTCTGTAAGACACAGTAGCAGACCATCCATCCTGAGAGGGTCATGGGAACCCCAGAATTTACAGCAAGTTGGTCAGAAATGTGGGTAGCCTGAGATCCTTAAACCTGGGGCTTACATATGATGTGCACAGTCTTGTGAGAGAATTTTTCCACAAAGAGCGGACTCCGGGCTAACTCCGGGTAATCTTTACTAGTCAGCATCAGAAGTGAATTGCACTGCAATACAGCAGTGAAGTAAAGGATCAAAAAGTTCAGAGATGGGCATTTTGGAACGTGGCTTTTTATTTTTTTGAGATGGAGTTTCACTCTGCCGCCCAGGCTGGAGTGCAGCGGCGCCATCTCGGCTCACTGCAACCTCCACTTCCCAGGTTCAAGCGATTCTCCTTCCTCAGCCTCCCGGGTAGCTGGGATTACAGGCATGCACCACCACGCCCAGCTAATTTTTGTATTTTTAGTAGAGATGGGATTTCACCATATTGGTCAGGCTGGTGTCAAACTCCTGACCCCGGGATCCGCCCGCCTTGGCCTCCCAAAGTGCTCAGATTACAGGTGTGAGCCACCGTTCCCGGCCAGAACGTGTCTTTTATAGAAGAAAATAACCCAGCAGCTGAGTAGGATGGTGAGGAGGGCTGGTGAGCACTGCAGTAGTGAGGGGGACATGAGCATCACTAAGATGCAAGTAATGGTCATGTTTCATAGGTCAAAGCTCAAAGCAGGGGACAGTTACAGGGCAGGGCTTCATAGTACCACAGTGATGAAAGTGTCTGGGAGTGGCTGAGGCCAGCACTATGCCATGGGAAGCAAGGTGGGACTGAGGAGAAGGCAGCAGCAGCAGCCTGCGGCAAGTGGGGCTGCCCTGCAGAGACCTGAGTCATGTTATAGAGCACAGTGTCTGTAAGGCCAAGAAATGTGGACAGCCAAGTGTGTCAATTACTAGACACACTCAAGAGGAGCAGGAAGGGCAGGGCACGGTGGCTCATGCCTGTAATCCCAGCTACTCAGGAGACTGTGGAAGGAGAATCGCTGGAACCCAGGAGGTAGAGATTGCAATGAGACCAGATCGTGCCACTGCACTCCAGTCTGTGCGACAGAAGCGAGACTCCATCTCAAAAAACAAGAAAGAAAGAAAAAAGGAAAAAAGAAAAGCCTATGTATACTTCTCAAGAAAATACAAATAATCAAAACCAGTATCACATGCCTGGGCACAAATTTCATATATATAACAGATTTAAGCATATAAGGGTGATCATCCTCTCATATCTCAATATTTTTGGTTTTCTATTTTTTTTAACTAAAAGAAGTTAATGCCAATTATATACTTTTTTTTTTTTTTTTGAGATGGATCTCACTTCTTCACCCAGGCTGGAGTGCAATGGTGCGATCTTGGCTCACCGCAAAGTCTGCCTCCTGGGTTCAAGCAATTATCCTGCCTCAGCCTCCCAAGTAGCTGGAATTACAGGAGTGCGCCACCATACCCAGCTAATTTTTGTATTTTTAGTGGAGACGGGGTTTCACCATATTGGCCAGGCTGGTCTTGAACTCCTGACCTCAAATAATCTGCCTGCCTCAGCCTCCCAAGTTTCTGGAATGGTAGTCGTGAGCCACTGCGCCCTGCCTATGTATGATTTTTTTTTCAATTTATTTGCATAGGTTTTTGGGGAACAGGTGGTATTTTGTTGCATGAATAATTTCTTTAGTGGTGATTTGTGAGATTTTGGTGCACCCATCACCCAAGAAGTATACACTGAACCCAATTTGTGGTCTTTTATCCCTCACCCCCTTCCCACCCTTTCCCCCTGAGTCCCCAGAATCCACTGTATCATTCTTATGCCTTTGCATCTTCATAGCTTAGCTCTTGAACCCTTACTTTCTGTTT